CTATCTCCCATGTACAGCAGCATGTACGTGGCCCGGCGATGGCTGTATGAGATGGAGTGGGACGAGGAGCAGGCTCAGGGCAGCCACTCGGAGTTCGCGGCCAACCTGACCGCCTGTCGTCACCAGCTCGAGACCTTCATCACATCTATCGACGTCACGGTCAGTTTGGATACCTTTGTCTTTGAATTCAAAATAGGGCCCTTTTGTTTTGCGTAATCAAATTCTGTTTAGGTACATCAAGAAGGTTACATACAAAACCGTTATGACCAAAAGGGCTAAAAGTTCAGGCCAACACTGAGTAAATCACTGTGGGACTTGTCCAAATTTTCGGCCGACTCCGTCAGCCTTGTTCACGGTGTACATTCGGGCCAAACGTCCAACACTGAACAGAGACGGGGGGCGACACAGGTTATCTGACACGTACGACCCTTTGCTGCTATCACGTGTTTCCGACTTCATGTCCCGGAAGCTGCAGTAGAAGGGTCCATTCTGTGCCGAAAATTCGGGTAGGTCCCATCCTATTCAGTGTTGGCCTGAACGTTTAGCCCTTTTTGTCATAAGGCCACACCGCCTTAATCTTATGGATGACATCCTATGAAGACACCCAAATTAGTGCGCGCGGGCGAATAAAAAAAAAATTCTGGCCCCCCCCAAAAAAAAATGACACTAAACCACAAGAATACAAAGCTGGTATTGTGAATTTCCAGAAGTACATAGCAACGTATACGACACGCCGGCACAAGCTGGCTTTTGGTGGAATTTATGAATCGGCACCGTAGGTACGTACTGAGTTCTTGAGTCGTGGAGCTTCGGTAGCCTGGGTGCCAGGCTCCGTATTGTGGCTAACTACCATGGACTACCTAGGCCTAGAGCCAGGCCAGAGCCTCGGAGGACGTGGTCTTTTTTTTTTTTAGGACAGGCGAAAATCAATGCGCGCGCGGATGTCATCCATTAAGTCGGTGTGGCCTAATGATGTATACCAAAAATGATGAACTTTAATACTAATGTTCTTAAACTATTTCAGATACACGTACTTGATGTGCAACACCCCGGCACACCGTCCTACGTCATGGAACCGGAAATGCGGGACCCGCCCTCCGAGTTCCGACGTCACTTCCGGGACTTTCTGGTTCTGAGAGACTTCGAAACTGCTGTCATGAACAGCTACCACCACTTATATATCATGCACTATAAGTACACATCGTAATATCAGAAATAAGACTAGAAACATACAGTAGCACCTATGGCGCCTAGAAATTTAGAAACATCTTTATGAATCATTTTAGCGATTCCCATTGTATTATGCTCCAAGAGTAGATTTATTTATAAAAGTATGCATCAAATGCATCCTTTCGACTAGATCACAAGTATGTCAAGACTGAACTGACTAACTTTTCAAACATGAAATGACGATAAGGTGATAGTCACCTGTTATGTCAATCCTTCCACAAATGTGGTAAATCTTCATATAAATTAATAAATAAATAAAATAAATAAGTTGTTGTCTTTAACTATGATACAAAGATTACGAGATTTCAACACTATATCTCTGAAGGCCATGAAATGACTATGAGTTATTATTTATATCTATGATACATAGAGTACATGATTGCAATAGTATGTCTCAGAAGGCAGGTCCGAAGCAGTTTGCCACTGTATGGCTTGTAAATATTCCATATCTATAGATATATGTCTAGAAAAATATTGAGTTTTAACGTTCGAAGAAACTTGACACTTGAGAGTACAGAATGACTCTTCATTTGTGTCACGATTTAACGTACCGGCTAATGGTGGATGATGTAAAGAAAAATAACATTTTATTTCATTCCCCTGCCATTTATGTATCGGTAAATAAAGACACGTGCACAAGGAATTCACTTATACGGAAAAGTCCTGGGTCTGGAGCTTTTTGTGCCATAGAAAGTGTTTTATCCATATTACCCTCATCACAGCTTGTGGATTATTCTTTTATCCTTTATTCTCTCATCTTTTGATGTGGGATTATCTGGGATTATAATCTTTCAGTAGATGGCTTGAGCGCTAACGACCACCGCTGCCACCAGTGTAGGGTATTGGAAGGAGAGGCTATGAAAGATGTCCGTACTCAGTGGCTGCCTGCTAGAAGAGGGTCTGCATGGGGGGGTCCTGGCAACGGTTAACGGTAAATTCAGCAGGGCCGATAACGCTTAACGGTAAATTCAGGACGGTCGGCAACGCTTAACGGTAAATTGACAGGCTTTTTTCGAGCAGCACTGGATTTGGTATCTCGCTTTGTGAGAAAAGGTGATCACTGACAAAATTACGTATACCTTACATGTAAAGAAGAACGCATTAAAGGTACGTGTTCTCTGTGTTTCCCACCTGCGACGTCGGCCAAGGCTCTACCCAGCTTGACTTTTTTCCGTCCTCCTAGTTTTACCGATGGATTGACGCTCGCAATCTAAGGGGGCCGGGAGGTGCTACCCAGGAAATTTAGGATTTTTAAGCCTTCAAAAACGCAATTTCCCGCATTTTAACAGGCAAATCATGGTGTTGAAAGTGTTTGACGGTCCTTCTGATGTTTTCATATTTTTACTCAAAATTTTTAGGTTGACGGATTCGTAAAAAAAAATTTGTAACGCTCCGCAAACTTCCGGTAATTGGCGGAAAACTGGTGCTGGCTAGAGCCGAACGGGACCGAGCGCAGGAGCGCGAGTCGAGCGCCAAAGGCGAGAGCAATGAAGGGGGGTCCGGGGGCATTCTCCCCCGGGAAATTTTGTATTTTTAAACCTTCAATGACGCATTTTCCTGCAATTTGAAAGGCAAAATTGGGTGTAACGAAGAATTATTCATTAACGCTTAACGCTGAATTTAGGATGACAAATAACGTTTTACGTAGAATTAAAACGACCAATAACGCTTCACGATGAATATTCTGATAACGCTTAACGTTGAATTAGAGCAGTCTGGCAACGATTAACGGTAAATTAAAATAGCCCATAACGGTTAACGAAAAAGTGCATGCAGGTACTCCTAGAACTGTCTCTCAGACACTGTGGTCTGAGTCCTTTATTCATAACTAATAAGATACAGATGTGGTCAGTCTGGTGACAGTTATGACGACTTCCTGTCACAGGGGACATGGGGGGTTGTCTCCTAACACCAGTATATTCGACAAATAAGGCGAAAAGTAAATAGGCAACCAAACCTCATTCGTACAAGGGAACATTTTAGACATGCATTACAACACAAAACCATAAAACTAACCTTTCAACCGTCACTATATCCATCCGCACGTATACTAGTAGAGCGTACGAAGATCTTCGTTTTCCTAACTTCTTCATGGTCCAGTTTATTTATTTCCGTCATTTTTATACAGGGTAACCCAATTCAGTGATGGCACTGCTTTTCAACGGGGCCCTGTATTACACAGCACAGTACAACAATCACATACAAATAATAACATTAGCATACAAAAATTATACAATAAATAATTATAATGGCAATGATATAATAATGATATAATAATATAATGGCAGTTCAAAACTATCGTCTTATTTTACGCAAAAAAAAAAAAACAACAGTTACTCAAGCACCTGGACATGATTTTGGAAACGGTCAGACGTTTCAGCTAGTATCCACTAGCATTTCTACTCTGGTCTCTCAGTCACTGACGAAAGGTAATGGATACTAGCTGAAACGTCTGACCGTTTCCAAAATCATAACTGGCGTATGCTTTTTGGCGTATCTTATTACCTGGATGTCTAACATTCACCGAATCGTCTTATTTACTTGTTGGAACGTACGAATAGCTTCCAGCTGCTCGTGTCAGTTTCCTGTCCTTAGTAGATGCACCCGCAAGAGGATTCGACGAAATCTGCTCTCCCAATTAGAGTGACGGAGTTTAAAGACGACCACGTGTGCACCTGCTTAACAGGAAAGGTGGGACAAAAGAACAAGGAAATCAGTGGCCTGATGACAGCTCTTAGGCCGGAAAACGTCGTTAAAGATGCATGACATCTGCTTGGAGATTTATGGAAAGGTCCCAGTGCTCAATCGGCAGCTGCACCGGGCAGGGATTAACAACAGTTTCCGTTTGTCGTTAGAGACTCACGGCTTTGGGATGGTCCACTTTGACAAAGGGGTTTTCCTCTACGAATGATTTATAACTTTTTTTAGATCATTGTTCAATAACAAAGAATCAACTGCTATAGGAGCTTCTTAAAGAGATTACATCAATAATACTATATGGTCTTTATTACATCTTTTAAAAAGAAGTAGGTCGGTCAGATTAAGAAAAACATACTAGTAAATACTTCTCTAACTCAGATAATGGCACATCCCTACCTGTGAGTCTGTATATAAATACGAGAACACGACATGACAATAACAAATCTTCCAGCTGCCCGCTGCTCACAGATCACAGAAAACGTTGCCAATTTGTTGGGGGTGTTTCAGTGACTTCAGGCCCTGTTGAAGGTAAGGCGATTTTTTCGGACCTTGATTTGATTTTCTCTCTTATTTTGGCTTCATTTGCTCTTTTCACACATCAAAGACATGCAAAACAATGTTATGGGGATTTCTTTTCAATTTGAGCTTAAGATTGGCTTTGGAGATATGGCCTTCTTATAATGGATACTGTACATAACAGTGTAAGTTTCTATGTGGCAAAATTTTATGACAAAGTTTTTTTAAATGTTTATAGGACGTTGTCGGTTATAAGCTGCAGAGATGCCGCATACTGGTGAGTGCGTTGATTATATGTATATAGATAACGTTACGTGGATCAATGAGGACATGGTATTCGTATGTTTATTTCTATTATGAAAGCTTACATACGCACATGGGTATATTGGAGAAAAGATAGCCCTATTGAATGGAGCGAAAACAGTCGTTTTTTTTTTACAAACAAAATAAATCTTTGGTATGAAATGTACGCTTGACCTGTTTTAAGTTCTTCATAGATCTCTTTTGTGATAGAAACAACTGAAAACTATTCGTACAAATATTCCCACTAAGAAATGCAATTTTCCTCATTTCCATTTGCCGGACACACAGGAATAAACCAGCTCGGTGGCATCTTCGTGAACGGGCGCCCCCTACCGGATCATGTCAGAAGTTACATCGTGCACCTGGCGCTAATGGGCGTGCGGCCGTGCGACATCTCGCGGCGGCTGCTGGTATCGCATGGTTGTGTTTCCAAGATTCTGTCCCGTTACTTCGAGACGGGCACAGTTACCCCAGGGTCTATTGGAGGAAGCAGGCCGAAGGTAAGTTTCATTGAGTTCTTTGTAGATGTTCAGTGGGTCTAAATTCTCCTTCCTCCACAAATTGAATAAGAGAAAACAGTGTAACAACCAACAAGTCTTTTATTCGTCAGGAAAACAGCAGTAAATCTGTGGAACAACAGTTGTCACGGCCTGTTTCTTTAATCACATCTTCCCTTATCCCACTGTCGTGACTCTTTGCTCATAGTTACAGGAAGCGGAATTTTTTGGCGACGCCTCAGGGGGAGCCTAATAGTACAGTATTGTGTGTAGTTTGCAAGAATTGTAGGAATTGCACTGGTATTATTTTCACACACATGAAATGTACACATGCATGTCTGGAATTTTGCTGACACACATCAGGTACCATTCAGGTGGTAATGCCATTCAGGTGATACCATTCAGGTAGTTAACCAACCTTGAAGTGGCCTAAATGCCGTGTTACGTGGCGACCACTAAGTAAAAAAAAAAAAAAAACATGTATGCCCACAGTCCTACTGGTGAAATTCCTGGAAACCCTTGGAAAAACCTTGCCGGGCTCGTTCACGCGGACGCCATCCACAAAAATTACTTGTTGTGACCTTATCTGATTTTATTTTGTTCCCCCCAGGTAGCGACGCCGCTGGTTGTTCGGAAGATCCTTGGATACAAGCTGGAGAAGCCTGGCATGTTCGCCTGGGAGATCCGTCAGCGCCTCCAGGCGGATAGGGTCTGTACGGCAGACAACCTGCCCAGCGTCTCCTCCATTAACCGCATCCTCAGGACTCTACCTACTTCTGTAAACGTAAGTACTCATTGTGCTTTCTACTTGTATTATTATCTCACCCAGTTTTAGTTTTCTGTGACATCTTGATCGAATCAAACATTTTAAGACCTCAGTTATCGAATGAATCTTTATTTGCATGTTCATTCCCATGGGGCTAAATGCATACATCAGAATGTGATGTTACATGTAAATCATTCTGAGTAACATGATGCATAGGATACAAGGATAACAGTATAACGTAAAGGTCTTAACAACTACTAGAGGATAAACTGATCTAAGCCTTGAGGATTTCTTCTCTCTTTTTAAAGCAATTGGAGATAAATTCACATAGTTTTTCTATTGTATGGTCATTACTGGTGGGCATGAGATGACTGAATACCTCTCTTTGTTGTACCTTTATACAGTTTGTCTAAGTGGATTGTTCTTAATAGTGTGTTACGTTCAATATTATACAATTTATAATCAAGTACAAAATGTGTTTAATCTTCTACGCTACCAGAGTTACAATCTTGTTATCGTAGATTACAAGTTGCTTTTGATATTTCCAGAACCAGCAGAGTTTTCCCATCAACTTGAGGAACATCCGAGCTTCAGGCATCTATGCTCCGATCCCTCTCCGCCCAGTTCAAATAGCGACACCCAGCGGTCTGCCTGTGAAGAGCACGAGCACACGGGATGCTCCGGCAAATGTGGCGACCAAAGATCTTCTGGGGCCTGAAGTCACAGGTGATGTGGTAATAACATGAGAAAGAATTGCTTTCAATCGCTTTTAATTCTCTCTGCATTGCCACGTAGTAAAGGGCCCAGTCAGATAGTAATAAGATTACTAGTTGGTACTCTTATCGGTCTATCAAGATTCTACATACGAGTTCAACGGGTATCATGTCTGGCAAAATGTTGAATACAACTAAGAGATTGTACATCTCTAAGCGTATGTTCTAAGATACGCTATACTATATTCGTAAAGAGTACAATGTTGTACATATAAGAGCTGTATACATACCTGTACTATGCAGGTTCTATGGTAAAGTAACTACTATACAGAGTGTTGACTAAATTGCTGACTACGATCTGACATGTAGGTGCTAAGCTAAGTTATACTATATAGTTGATACGACAGGGTTTTGTTTTTCTACCTACAGTATACAGCTTGTTTTAGAATTTTGATGTATACAACTTACATCCCAATAGGTCTATTGATAAACATATGGTCTACGTATGTTTCAGCAGATAAACCAATTGTGGCGGCTGCTCGTGATTCTAAGAAGTCGAGTGAACAAGGAGAGAAAGACGAGAAGAAGAAAACTGACGAGGAGGATCGTTTCGCATCTTTAATCGCCGATCCTGCTCTCCCACAGCAGCGTATGATCGAGCTACCCACATATGCACTGAGTCAAGCACCATTCAACAACGCCGCCGTGCGGCTGCCACTAGTGCAGCGCCTACACCACCTTGGTGAAGAAAATGAATAGCTAGCCTCCACCAGGTCTTTCTACGGGAATACGGATCGTAGAATTCGGCAAAAAAGAGAGCAAAATTGGCCAAGGGAGTCCAGCCGCGGGGAGGTAGTTTCTTTCCCTTCTAACTGCGCGGCCAGTCAAACCACAAGGCGGCAAACTCCCCTGGCAAATATTCTCCTATATATAGCCAGCGTAGTTAGTCTGGTAGAGACTAAGGCCACACCGATTTAATTTTATGGATGACATCCTCTGAAGACCCCCAAACTAGTGCGCGCGGGCGAAAAAAATAAAAATCCGGACAAAAATAAAAATGCTACAAAACCACAGGAATACAAACCTGGTATTGTGAATTTGGCGCATTACATAGCGACGTATACGACAGGCCGACGCATGCTGGATTTTTGCGGAATATATGAATCGACACTGCTGTACGTATGTACTGAGTTCTTGAGTCTTGGAGCTTCGGTAGCCTGGCTGCCGTCAACCAGAGTTATCACCACCATGCACTACCCAGGCCTAAAGCCAGGCCAGAGCCTCGGAATACGTGATCTTTTTTTTTTTTTTGAGATCGGGCGAAAATCAATGCGCGCGCGGATGTCATCCATAAAATTAAATCGGTGTGGCCTAATGAATAACCACGCTAATTGCCAAGTCGTACCGTATCAGCAAATATTCTCCAGAAGTGAATGCAGTGTGTCGGCAGTGACAGGACTGTTATTTTAAGTTATGTGCGTAACTTTTCAAAACTGATGTAGTAGCTTGTGATGTCTAGAATTTTCAGAGGCGTCACCATTCACGATTGTCGATGTGCATGACGTTGTAACCAAAACAGTAAATAAGTATAAACAAGACTGGCAATAAAAACATACATTGCCATGGCGACGGTAGTTGCTGATAGGGTGATTGTTGGCATGGCACTGCTATGATGTTATGATTTTGAGGAAGCCTTAGTACCCTCCACTCCCCTGAGTGTATAGTGAACGAGCCCCGGGGTCACAGAAAGTATGGCATCCGGGCAGACAGGTTTTCCCAAGGGTTTCCAGGAATGTGGGCATGTCGACAAACCGAGCTGGGAGACATTCCTGTGGACATTCCATGCCTGTGGACAAAATTCCTGTATATATATATATATAGCTACAATTCTTAGAATTGTTGCGAACTGCACACAATACTGTACACCATTAGGCTCCTCCCTGAGACGTCGCCAAAAATACAGTTGTGCTTCACGCTGTTAGCCAGCTTTACAAGAAATAGTTCACGCACTACCTTTGCATCTGATAGATTATTGCCATTACTAATCTATCAGTATTGAAGTCAAATACTACGAAATACAAATGTTGGTGTATGTTGAATATATCAAGGAATCGTTTGTCAGCGTATAGGTTTCAGAATAAAATTGGCGATGAGTACAACTTCACGTGATCCTCTTTAACGGTTATCGATGTAGTAAGAAATACACTAGTCAATCAATGGTTATACCAGCAAATAAAGTACACGGAACTTGCAATAAAACAATAAAATTATAAGCTAAATAAGTTAGTAAATATTACAATTCAGACGTTTGACACCGTTTGACTCTAGTTTAACAGTTCTGCATATAGAATACAGGCAGTGCTGCATGTTTTAAAGGTGTAAGTTTTACATCATCGAGCTTTAGAATACAAAGGAGGGTATTGAACATACGTACCTCCTTTCTTCTAATATGTTACTGAAGTTGCATATTATTTATATACTATTTACGTTTTGCTGCTGATCACAGCTTGTCTGCTTTGTCTGAACATTGTCTGAACTGATTTAAGTGACTTCACTAGATCATCAATCTCATCTACGTTCCAGACTTATTCTCTGGTGACCTGTATTAGAATATAAATACTGCCGTTGGTCACTTGTCCGTTGTTGGACAACTTTGCTATAGGATGCCCAAGACTTTGGTAGTATTGGTACTGTCACATTCCGATCACTGTTTCCAGGTTGCTGTACATGCAAGCTATTTCTTGGAGTAGAATGGGTGATTTCGACTGAATTTGCAATTACCACAGTAGCTACCTGAAACGTCTGACAGTTTTCAAAATCCATCCATTTATTTGTGTAGCAATTCATTTGCGTATGTTCACAAGGCTACTATGTTCGTCATTATGAAAGCCTTGAGGAGGGAGACAATGAATAAAATCTAGTTGTCAGGGGTCAAGGAATCTGCACAGTGTGTAATAGTCATGATGTAGCCATCTTGACGCCACAACTCTGCTTAATAGCACTGCAGATAGATTACAGACAGTGCTGCATGTTTTAAGGACTGGTGCAAGTTTTACATATGGGAGCTTTAGAATACCAAGAAGAGTATTGAACTTTAGTCTCCACCAGACTCCTTTGCAGGCTGAATGAATAGTAAAAATCAGCTAAGGGTGACATCATTGGTCAGAGGAGTTGGCCGGCCATAGAGGGTCCAGCTTGCCTGCAACTCCTCTGGCAAATTATGCCCCCATAAGTCTTGGCCGATTTCTACTATTTATTCACCCTGCAAAGGAGTCTGGTGACTATATAGTATACATACTATTTTCGTATTATTGCCGATCACAGCTTTCTACTTTAATTGTCTGAACATTGTCTAAACTGATTTGAGTGACTTCACTAGATCATCAATCTCATCTACGTTTAAGACTTTTTTTCTGGCAACCTGCACTAGATTAAAAATGCTGCCGTTGGTAACTTGTCCGTTGTTGGACTTTGATATAGGATGCCCAAGTCTTTGGCAGTACCGGTACTGTCACATGCCGAGTTGATGTTTTTAGGTTGCTGTTCATACAAGCTATTTCTTGGAATAGAATGGGTAGTACCGGTACTGCCACATACCGAGTTGATGTTTTCAGGTTGCTGTCCATACAAGCCATTTCTTGGAATAGAATGGGTAGTACCGGTACTGTCACATACCGAGTTTATGTTTTCATGCTGCTGTTCATACAAGCTATTTCTTGGAATAGAATAGGTCATTTCGACTGAATTTACAATTACCGCACAGTAGTGTGGTGTTGGGTGAATGCTACCTGAAACGTCTGACAGTTTTTTAAAAGCCACCCAGTTGCTTGTGTCACAATTTCATTGTGTATGTTCACAAGGTTACTATGTTCGTCATTCTGAAAGCCTTGAGGAGGGAGACAATGAATAAAATCTAGTTGTCAAGTTTCAAGGAATCTGCACAGTGTGTAATTGTCATGATGTAGCCATTTTAACGCCACAACTCTGTTTAATAGCACTGCAGATAGAATACAGACAGTGCTGCATGTTTTAACCCTCAACAGAACACCTTCCCGGACTGATTAATCTGTACACCTGGGGTCCGCGCGGACCCCAGAACTAGTTTTTTGCTAATTTTTAGAAATTATCAACATGCTACCAGCTCAATTGTTTTGCAAACTGATGTGGGAACCTCTGTGTCCACATTACATAACAAAAATCATACATTTTGAACTTTTTCTATTTTTTGGTGAAGAAAAGAAGACAAGAAGAAATACCCGATTTTTTAACCCATTTCAGACTGAAGGGGCTTTTGAGGCCCAACTTTGATCTCAGATAGCGGCTAAACGGCTTGCGCTAGAAGTATCAAATTTGGAGACCTTTCCTAAAATGTCTCTGGAAAAAAGTTCATATTAGTTTAATACTAGTAAGTTGATGTTTTTTTGTGTTGCCATGGCAACGGGTTTCTAGCAGGCAGTTTTTTTGAAAATAGACGTAATTTTGGTTCAAACATGAAAATTTTCTATGAGTTTTATATGAAATTACACTTCTTTTCCAACATTAATAACATCTTACATAATTAAATATAAGTTAAATCATTTAATATGCATAGAATATGCTAATTTGATGACGTCATTGGTCAAAATCCAATATGGCGGACTATATTATTAGCTCTGACGTCATATGACGTCATAATTACACCAAAGGTATTAAAATTCAATTCTATCACTACACCATTCTCTGAAAACTTGGTAGACATACGATGAGTACATAAAAACATATAAAAACGGAAATAAGGTAATGTATAAGAACGCCAGTGTATCCATTATGATCGAAAGCCGGCTGGGGTCCGCGCGGACCGCAAAAGAAAATCAGATATAATTTTTTTTATAAATGGTAGAAACGGAGTTTTCTGCACTGTATTGAGAGACAACTTTGTGGATGACAATTACCTAAAATTTCAGAAAAAAATCTTTGGAAACAAAAAAGATATTACAGAATATATAGTGCTGGGGTCCGCGCGGACCCCAGGTGTACTGTTTAGGGTTAAAGGACTGGTGCAAGTTTTACATGAAGGAGCTTTAGAATACCAAGAAGCTAGTATATTGAACTCACTATGTCTCTTCTAATGGTGCTGAAGTGGCATAGGTGTTTACTGGAAAATAATTTGATGGTCCGCATCGAAAATAAAGACAGGTGGTTTCCTGAGAGTTCTAGAAACTTCGGATCCAAAAATCTTAAACCGCGATAAGCATATTCTAATATGTGAGAAATGTAGTTATATAAAAGGATAAAATAGGTCAACGTTGTAAGAGAAGAAAAATTGAATCGACAAAGAGAAGCTATGTCATTTCTTTCAACATCAAGGCTAGGTGGACTAGCTCACGAACACCTTCGAACGTTTGTGACAATATGTTGTTGACTCTGATCCTTCTTAATTGTTCTCCAGATGTAGTTAGGAATACACTAGTTAATCAATAATCATACCAGCAAATACAGTACACATTATAGGTCAGATGAATTACACAGGACAACTCAGAAGTTTGACACCGACTCTGGTTTAATAACTCTTAAAAAAGAATACAGACAGTAGTGCATGTTTTAAAGGTGCAAGTTTTACATCATGGAGTACCAAGAAGGATTTTAAACATACGTTCCTTCTTTCTTCTAATGGTACTAAAGTGGCATATTATACAAACTATTTACGCATTATTGCTGATTACAGCTTTCTACTTTTCAAAATCATCTATCTCATCTAAATTTCAGACTTATTGTTTTGGTGACCTGCACTAGAATAGAAATGCTGCCATTGGTCACTCATCTGCTAATGGAAAACTTTGATATAGAATGCCTTAGTCCTCCGAGCGGATGTTTTCAGGTTGCTGTTCATACAAGCTATTTCTTGGAATAATATGGGTAGTACCTTTACTGTCACAAACCGAGGGGATGTTTTCATGCTGCTGTTCATACAAGCTATTTCTTGGAATAGAAAGGGTCATTTCGACTGAATTTGCATTTACCGCACAGTAGTGAGGTGTTGGGTTACTCTGATTTAGGTTTGTGTCTTCATACACCGAATTTGCTGTTGCTATACCGTACATCATTTCTTCTTCATCGGGCGCAGCGTCTTCAAAATCCCAAGATGTATCAACGTTACTGTACTGGTGGATATCGGCTTGTGTAGTAAGGGCCGTGTCAGCAGTAGAACGAGATAGTGCCTCTTCTATACTCGTAAATGACGTAGTTCCTCCGATTGGAAACGTCGTAGGGAGAAAGTGTTCGTATCTAGTCCATCCTTTGCGTAATTGTCTGCTATATTGGGTACGGCAGGAACGCAGACAATCATAGCTTGCACTCCCACGTGTAATGTTGCATGAAGCGAGTTACTGTTAGTGTTATTTGGGTCGGCACTGGACCGTTTTCCCCAACGCATTACGAAAGCCGGAATAATCATCAGAAAGAAAATTATAGCAGGAACGGTAATGACAACAATCAACAATACGTTAGGTCCAGGTGCCTCTGTGGTTTCTAAAGTAATGTTGCCAGGAACACAGAATTTGTCATCACTTGACCCAGGTAAACAACAGGACTTATTTATAAAACTGAAACAGTTGTCTAGTTTGTTTTTGTCTTCAGTTGCCATTGGAATTGTGGTCTGGTGTTGCCGCTCCTCGCTATACTTCCTAACCATACACAATACAAAATCATATTTTGCTTTTAGTTGGCCTTTGTCTGCTACAAAGGTGTAGACACCAGAGTCATTTACTGTTAAGTTTTTGATGCTGACAAGATTTGTGATATTGAGGCGTCCATTCGGGGTGTTCCAGTAGTTGGTAGCGGAACGTAACCTTCTACCAAACATTGAAACCCGCTTGGTTAAACCAGGTGCAATTCTATTCCTTAATATTGTTAGTCTAGTAAGAATGCCATTATTTTCAGTTACCTTGAAGACTGAGGGGCGCATGCCGAAGTATTTAAATCCGTCTTTGATAAGATATCCTTTGTTAACGAACGATCGATTATTTATAGTGTTGGTTGAGTATAAATAGGCCTCAAATATATTAAATTTTGCATACGTAAACCTGTCTGGTTCATCTGGACAACTCAAAGGGTTTCCTCGCAAATCGTAAGAAGTTTCGTTCGGACGTAACGTTTTTATGTCTTTCGGTATGTGGCTGATGTTGTTTAATCTAAGCATGACCAAATAGAGATGTTTACTGGGGATTAACTGGATTGCCCGCATAGGAAATACAGATATACGGTTTCCTGAGAGTTCTAGAAACTCCAAACTTTCCAAACCGTGAAAAGCATGTTCTGATATGTGAGAAATGTAGTTATGTGAGAGGATGAGATTGGTCAACGTCGTGAGTGTAGAAAAAGTGAATCGACGAAGAGAAACTATGTCATTTCTGTCAGCATCAAGGTGGACTAGCTCACGAAGGCCTTGAAACGTCTGTGGAAATATGCTGTTTATCTTGTTCTTGTCGACATAAAGGTATCGTATTTCAGGAGCTTGATTAAAAGGGCCGAGATGGTTTATTTTGTTATTTGACAACCTTAGAATGTAGGTGTTTGGCATGATGGAGTCTATCGGGACGCGTGTTAAGTTTTGCCCTGTAAAATCAGTGACTTTTCCCAAACTAACTGTTAGCGAAGTAAAGATGATGACGACAGACAGGGATTCCATTTTGCGTCAAGGTACAATAGCCTGCAGTTAAAGCTTCCTGTGGATACAAACAAAAAGGACAAACAAACAATTACAAGAAAAACATAGAAAAATGCGTTCTCTCAAGCACGGGTTTAGATCCATGGAAATGCATTTATTTCTTAATTGGACAAGGTAGGACGGCTGAAAGCCTCTGCCCAGGGCCTTCGCTAAATTGCCTATATATTGACCCAAGCTAGTCTATAATTTATCAATAGAAAGCTGATCTTATCCTTGAATATCAGAACTATATATTTGCCCTGCCTTTTTATGGAGATGAGTGAGTCAGATCTTTTTCATGATCGAGAGATTGAACAAACAAAATCTGGTCGTACTACAAAACGTTATTCTTTCGTTTTAAAAACAACAAGGGTCAAACTCTCATACTACGTGCATGAAAGAAGATGGCGTATGTATATTCTACATGAACTTCAATAAACTTTTATCGCTATCGTGAAAATTCTGTAATGCGGAAACTGACCTGATCGTGATGTGAGAAGACCAAAAAGCAGACTCTGGGGAACTAAGAAGATCTCTTAGTCTGAGTATGAGGGAAACCGTGTAAGAAACCGTTTTTAACAAATGTCACGTGGTGCATTGCGACAAAATAAGCGTTCGTCATTGGTCCAATCCTATTAACGTCATCTCTCACACGTACATTGTAACTAAGAAACCAGTCTGTCATACAATTTACACATTCCCATTTCCGCCATAATGGCCTTGGCCCACCATACTAGCATCTACAGATAGTAGATACAGTTAGAGGCACTTTTTATTACAAACATGGCTTCTCTGCCCACTCCTATATATTAAATATGGCGAAGACAAGTAGTAGCTATAGGTAGTCCATAATCCGATAGTTTTATTCACAAATCTTTATATAAATTCTTAATTTTTAGATGAATGCCTATACAAATTCCGCTTGTCTCTAAAGAAAAGTAGTGAATGTTACCTTCAACGTCTGACAGTTTTTAAAATCCATCCAGTTGCTTATGTAACAATTTCACAAGGTTACTATGTTCGTCATTCCGAAAGCCTTGAGGAGGGCGGCAATGAATAAAATCTAGTTGTGAAGTGTCAAGGAATCTGCACAGTGTGCAATATTCATGATGTAGTAATCTTGATGCCACAAGGACCTCAGTTTTACAATGTATTGTATGTTACTTTATATGTATTCTATTCTTTTGTTGTAACCGGTACTTAACCCAGCGGGTATGTGTGTACAATAGAGGTTTTCATTCATTCATCATTTCTGGGAAATACCTCAGTATCTTGCCACATAACATTCTTCGGCTCCCTCCCCGAATTGTTAATCTTCACTGATACTAACGGTGTTGGTAACTGAACTTGGTAAAGATCGGTGACCTATCTAATGTAAACTGGTAACACTATCAATAGTTTATCGTGCTAAACCCCATTTGGTTAAACCACATTTGAGTTAAACCTCTCATGTGAATCTAGTGTGTGGGCAGTGGCGAAGCTGGTTTCAACTTTATGGGCGTAACTTTCCAATGCTGATGTAGTAGCTGGTGATGTCTAAAACTTTCAGTGGCGTAATCATTAATAACAATTGTCGACGTGCATAACGTTATGACAATAACTGTTGATACGTATAGACATTTTTTCCTCTGTTTATTCAAATCATGGAGACAAGTACAAGTACAAGTACATATACATACACAACTACTTTTAACAAAAAACTTTTACAGCCATATCCCCAAACTACACGGACCAATCACAAAGACAGAAACTAGAAATGATGTCTAAATCACTTAGACACAAACAGGTCTTCAGACTGCCATAGATATCACAGATGAAGTTTCTTGACATTGTTGTAGAATGAAGCTAAAATCCATGTATAGGAGCAAGGCTATGGCATAGTCCGTTGAAAGAACGAATGATCCAAAGATCGGTCCAAGGTTCCGAGTCGTCTGAAACGCAACCAGACCCGTGTTACAATTAAAAACGGGTCTGATTGCGTTTGCGACCGCTAACCGCAAAAATGATGTCTAAATCACTTACACACAAACAGGTCTTCAGACTGCCATAGATATCACAGATGAAGTTTCTTGACATTGTTGTAGAATGAATTCGAAGCTTAAATCCATGTAAAATAAAGGTTTGTTTAATTCATACCCTATTAAAGCCCAATATATATATATAAATACTCATGTTAAACATGTTCACTTAAAGAGTCTGATGGAGACATTAATTTCAGATATTTTCAGATTTCAGTAATGTGATGAATACGAGAAGGCCCTGTCTTTCTTTGATATTCAACATGCTAGGATAAATACATCACATACAATCTAAAAACATAAACAATCATCATTACATCAGTTGTTCAAATGTATATACAGTTGTACTTCACGCTGTTGGCCAGATTTATAAGAAAAAGTTCCCGCTCTACCTTTCCATTTGATACGATTATTGCCATGACTGCTTGAAGTCCAACACTATGAAATACATCAGCATGAAAGTTCATCTGAGTTGGTAAATTACATTATGAAAAACTTAAACTTTTCTCCAACTCAAAATTTGACTCACCAGAAATTTTCGACTAAATCATTCAGTCTTCCTCGCTATCTGACCCAAATGCTGTGGACACGTGCTTTTTCCCACGTGACTTCAGACAATCTTTGACCCTTTGCTGACGTCACACGTAGGAAAAATCACGTGTCCACAGCATTTGGGTCAGATAGCTGAGGAAGACTGAGTGATTCAGTCGAAAATTTCTGGTGAGTCAAATTTTGAGTTGGAGAAAAGTTTAAGTTTTCCATACTATGAAATGCAAATGAGGAATGCATAAAATTTTCTGTAAGCGTAAAAATTTCAGAATAAAATTGGTAAAGAAAACAACTTGTCAATATCCTTCTAATTGTTCTCCATATGTACATAGAAATGCACTAGTCAACCAATGATTGTACCAGCAAATACAGTACACATTATAAGTCGGCTAAATCACACAAGAATACTCAGAAGGTTAACACCGACTCTGGTTTAATAGCTCTGTAGATAGAATACAGACAGTGCTGCATGTTTTAAAGGTTTAATTTTTTGCAAGGAGCTTTACAATACCAAGAAGGGTATTAAACGTACCTCCTTTCTTCTAATGGTACTTAAGTGGCATATAATACATAGTATTAACTTATTACGCTGATCACAGCTTTCTGCTTTGTCTGAACATTGACTGAACCGACATGAGCGACTTCACTAGATCATCTATCTCATCTACGTTTGAGATTTATTTTTGCTGACCTGCACTAGATTAAGAAATGCTGCCATTGGTCACTCGTCCGTTATCGTTACAGGACAACTTTAATATAGGACGCCCAAGTCCTCCGTAGTACCGGTACTGTCACGTACCGATGTAATGTTTTAAGATCGCTGTCCATACAAGCTTTTACAAGCTATCTCTCAGTCTAGAATTTGAATGGGTAGTACCGGTACTGTCACATACCGAGTTGATGTTTTCAGGTTGGTGTTCATACAAGCTATTTCTTGGGATAGAATGGGTAGTAACGGTACTGTAACATACCGAGTTAATGTTTTCAGGTTGCTGTTCATACAAGCTATTTCTTGGAATAGAATGGGTAGTACCGGTACTGCCACATACCGAGTTGATGTTTTCAGGTTGCTGTCCATACAAGCTATTTCTTGGAATAGAATGGGTAGTACCAGTACTGTCACATACCGAGTTGATGTTTTCAGGTTGCTGTTCATACAAGCTATTTCTTGGAATAGAAAGGGTCATTTCGACTGAATTTGCATTTACCGCACAGTAGTGAGGTGTTGGGTTACTCTGATTTAGGTTTGTGTCTTCATACACCGAATTTGCTGTTGCTATACCGTACATCATTTCTTCTTCATCGGGCGCAGCGTCTCCATAATCCCCAGATGTATCAACGTTACTGTACTGGTGGATATCGGCTTGTGTAGTAAGGGCCGTGTCAGCAGTAGAACGAGATAGTGCCTCTTCTATACTCGTAAATGACGTAGTTTCCTCCGATTGGAAACGTCGTAGGGAGAAAGTGTTCGTATCTAGTCCATCCTTTGCGTAATTGTCTGCTATATTGGGTACGGCAGGAACGCAGACAATCATAGCTTGCACTCCCACGTGTAATGTTGCATGAAGCGAGTTACTGTTAGTGTTATTTGGGTCGGCACTGGACCGTTTTCCCCAACGCATTACGAAAGCCGGAATAATCATCAGAAAGAAAATTATAGCAGGAACGGTAATGACAACAATCAACAAAACGTTAGGTCCAGGTGCCTTTGTGGTGTCTAAAGTAATGTTGACAGGAACACAGAATTCATCATCACTTGACCCTAAACGAAACTCAGGTAAACAACACGACATATTCATGAAAGTGGAACAGTTGTCTAGTTTGTTTTTGTCTGCTGTTGCCGTTGACATTGTGGTCCGGTGTTGCCGTTTCTCGCTATACTTCTTAACCATACACAATACAAAATCATATTTTGCTTTTAGTAAGCCTTTGTCTGCTACAAAGGTGTAGACACCAGAGTCATTTACTGTTAAGTTTTTGATGCTGACAAGATTTGTGATATTGAGGCGTCCCTTCGGGGTGTTCCAGTAGTAGGTAGCGGAACGTAACCTTCTACCAAACATTGAAACCCCCTTGGTGAAACCAGGTACAATTCTATTGCGTAATATTGTTAGTCTAGTAAGAATGCCATTATTTTCAGTTACCTTGAAGACTGAGGGGCGCATGCCGAAGTATTTAAATCCTTCTTTGATAAGAAATCCGTTGTTAACGAACGATCGATTATTTATAGTCTTGGTTGAGTATAAATAGGCCTCAAATATATTTGCATACGTAAACCTGTCTGGTTCATCTGGACAACTCAAAGGGTTTCCTCGCAAATCGTAAGAAGTTTCGTTCGGACGTAACGTTTT